TTATCTTTCACGATTTTTCTCCTTTGTGACTGCTATCTTATCTCATGCATGTTCCCATGTACCCCTATAGCAGATTCACATAAAAATCTGCAGGGTCGCGATAGTTACATTACTGCATGCCATCGAGTAGTGGAAACCACTCGACGTCTAGCAGATCTGCTTTCGGATATCGACGGAATCACATTGAGAGGGGCAGCTGATCTATGCATTGTAGCGTTTGAAACTACTCTTGGCGACATCTATGTTCTGGTCGATTTCATGACTACTAAAGTGAGCGTTCATTATTGTTTTGCTCATCTATTCGGCTGCGTTCATACTTTGCGTCAGCGTCCACCAGCACCGCCACCGTCTTAATAAGCTAGAGAAGTGTAGGTATCCGATCTGCGAACGCTAGCGTCCACCAGCGTTCGCCAGCGTACAGCAGCGTCCAGGAAGGGAGAGTATAGGGAAGTAGGAGGGTAGCACAAATGGATAAGGCGTCGTGAAATTGCAGCGTGTGCAACCGCAGCGTACAACTGTTGAAGCATAGAATCATACAATTTTGATGTACAGAGTAGAGCAGTTGTACGGTGCACATGCCGCAATTTCACGAGCCTAATCCAGCAGTCTGCTACACTCTTACTTCACCATAATTCCACTACTGATCGCTGTTGCTTGCAAACGCCGGTGGTCTCTGGCGTTCGCTTGATCGATGCCTATACTTCCTTAGCCCCTCGGGAGACTGGTGGACGCTGGCGGTCGATATCTATACTTCGATAGTCGCCCGAAACCCTGGTGGAGCTGACGCAATGTATGAACGCAGCCTTATGTCAGCTGTAACTGAGTTCTGTTATAGGGTTGGCATGTCGATCCACTTTTGTCTCCTGAGGCAGCTCGTGTGCCGGTTACTTTGAGAATGTGTGAAGAAGGTGTACTTGAAGCTTTTGTTGAAGATGTCATTGAAGGCCTTCGCTACCTCGGCGAAAACCCTACCAAAACAACAAAGACCTCGGCGTTCTATCACATGTTGCAAACGGTAATACATTTTCATTCATTACCATGACTTTCTAATTAGCTGCAGACAGTGCGTGCCCGGGGCAGGAAAAAGTTCCTTAGTATCCATTACTTTCTTAGTATTCTATTGCTAGAAGCTTTTTGATGCGGAACGGTTAACACAGGACATGATAATTGCTCCTACGAGAGTGATAGCTCGTAAAACAGTTCAGTCTTGTTCGCTGTCTATGCTGGGGCATTCCAAGGAGGCTGGGCTTGGCGCGGCGCCAGTCTGTTCTCCACCAATTGTGGCACACGACCACAGTTGGTAGAGAACACTTGACGCCACCCCCCCCCCCACTCCTCGAAACACCTCAACTTGAACATCGATCAAGACTGTAAATTCCTGAAGCCCCTATACATCTTTCAGCAGGCAGCTTTGAGATGTCGAGAATCGTAAGTAAGTGAAAGAAAGCGTACCACCGCTCTACTCGAATGAAAACGAGAGGCCCGCCACGGTCAGTCTCCGCCTTGTGAGGTCGGCCTCCACCCTTCCATTCCCCAATATAAATATGCTGTGCTGTTTTGCTCGCATTATTCGCTGTTTTTTAGTACAGTGCTTAGATATAACGGAGATCTTGATTAAGGCTTTTCGGCGGTGCCTGTCTTCTGGCTTTTTTTCACTGCTCAGTCTTCTACTGAAATTCCTTCTCCTTGTGAACCTCACTGCCAATGATTTCCAGTCAAAGCCTGCGCCTTTTGAGTAATGCATTGAATGGTTTTTCAGAGATAATTAGTTTTTGCTTCCTCTCTTGCTCATAACAGAAATCCTATGCTTCAGGTAGCGGATCGTTGTCTTGTGGATGAGCTATCCTTGATTCGACTGCAGGCGCACTATAGTATTCCACCCCCACTGGACCGCGAGCATCGTTCAGTACGTGCGCTGAGCGAATACGGCCGAAAAATGAGCACATTGGAGAGAGATGGTTCGAAATTGTCGTCAGAGAAGATGCAGTAGGAATACCCTGCTTATTGTTGAGGTTCAAAATAGTCGATATTATTAGTATTCGAATTTTGTGTGATAACTTGGAGCTCTCACAATCTATTGTACAGTTCATTCTGTTAATAATTCTGCTTGTTTACACCAATTATCATTCTTGAAGTCGCAGTTAGGTCGCATTTTAATGAATGTGCATTCGAATTTGATTTTAAGCATCTTAATAACTAACAGTCGTTCTTCAATTCGTGTTACTAGACGGTGTTCGATGTCGTGTGCATGCGTTCGAATTAGAGCATTATTGTCTTCCTCATGATGTTTTTATTCAACTTAGAACTTCGAGTTGCTTGTACATTTCTAGGGGTTGAGTGTGCCTGTTTGGGGCCTTTTTCCACTATGTCATGCTTTGTTGTGTTCAGATGACATTCTAGTGCAGTTTCTCTTGTAAAACTCGTTCACGCAGTCATTCTTCATTGTTTGGCATGTTTATTGTCAAATAAAAGTTTTATGCCTGTAATACCCCCAAAAAGGTTGTGGTCCAGTCCACGTGCTACATTTTTTTGCGTCGTGTAACGTCAAAATTTAGTATTGTCTGCCCGCATTTGATCAGTTTCAGTATTTTATGCATAATGTAGATGTCTGGGTCTGGGATGCACCTGTCGTCCATTCATTTGCGCTGATCTTGCTGTTCATAGCTATTTTGCTCTTCTGCATTTTGTGTGTCCTTGGCGTAATCTTCTGTCGAAGGAGGTACGCTGTTTTTGTTTAAGAATATTAGTATTGTAGTTGTGTTGAATTAGTGGTCTTGGTGCCAGTGGAATTTGCTTTATCGGCACGAGTCCTCCTTCAGAAGTCAGCGTTTAGCTTCGCCACAGCGTCGAATGCGCATGCTTTCGACTGCGTTGATCGCCTATGCTTTCGTCGACCGACGAAAGCGACGACTGGGCGCGTCGAAGGCGCGAACGAAGCGCTGCCGTCGCGAAGTCTAAACGCTGCCTAACCGCGTGAACCGTGTGCAACACGCGACCAGCAGCAAACGAATAATTTCACTTGTTTTATTTTGCAGTCCTTAGAATTACATGTGCCCCAGGCATGAACGGATGCTTCGTGTTCTAGTTATTGTGCCGATAAGTCAGCTCCTCGATCTCTACAGTATATGTCAGTGCGAGGTGTTTAATGTTCGCTGTGCTATAACCCTTTTTATGTGGGGTACTGATTTCTGAACATCTTCTTCGTGGGTCCTTGTTTTTTCTTTGCCATGTGCGATACGAATGGGCGCCGCTGCAGTAGCCCTTTCACTACCATTTTCGTTGCCATTTTTCGCTCAAAAGTTCGAATGCAGGGCCGCAGGGTAGTGATATCCAGATGCAGTTTCTGGATTTAGCCTGCACTGCTGAAGGTTATGGTTTGGTGTGTGGCCGGCCTCACACCAAACCATAGCTTAAAGCGCTACTCTGGTATCGACGGAAGAGGAACCTTGATATAAAGGTGTCTGGCACTTATCACTATACTTCATCCTTATTTCCGCATGCTCTTAAGCGACGAAAGTGTTCCACTTGCACAGCTGACCAATTCCTTTTTGCACATGGCAAGGATCGCCGTGGGAGGAGAGTGTACTGTTTGCCTCTGAAGTCTTTTCCCATAAAACCATAACTGTCCTGCCATCAATCAGTTCAGTTGGTTCTAATCCTTGATGATGTTTGGAACACCATCTGTTATACTT